GTTTCTAAGGTGACAGGTTGCTTAAGGCATACTTTGCATCTGATGTTCTGCAGTAGGGCTTGATCTCTAACCCCATCTTTACTGAGTTTAATTAAACAGAAATATTTTTAAAGATTCAGTAATTTTACATTTTATTCATTTTTCTTCACCTTTTAGTCAGGATTGTTATAAAAAATATCACAATCAGTTGATACTTCCAAATATCTTGCATATATATGCAGTTATTTTCATCTGGAAGCAAGTCTGTTGTGAAGGCTGCTGGTTTCACAAGAGCTCCATTCTAAAGACCAAATAGGAACAGGCAAACATTAAGTCTTTTCTGGGCTCCCTGACCTCTATCTCATATCCCCAGTGTTTGAAAGATGCCAGTAGGTAATGAATTCCTGTGCTTAAAGCCCCAATGAAGATACTCCTGTGCTTAAAGCCCATTTGCAGTCTGAGTGGCAAGCAGCCTGACATGCTGCTTCTTACAGACCCCATTCAACAACAGAACAAATAAGAATAGTGCATGGTTAGGAGCACAATTAAAAGCCATCTGGATTTACAATGGCATTTACATGTACAGTATTTGACAGCATCTCTTATTTCTACTGAAAGTAACTATTTGCATTCCCATGCTCTGTCATGAGAGTATGCAAGGTATCACAAGAGATCCTGAAGGAGGTAGCCATTTCTTATCAGTTAGTGAATTTTCCACTTACTCTTTCATCTGTCAGGCCACATTCAAATGTTTCAGTTTCAAAATAGGCCCCGGATACATTAATTAAAGACCCTTAAGAAATAGGTGGCCAAGTTGCATTAGTTTGTCTACATTGGAAGTCACAGGAGGTAGTTGCCCAGTTCCTTTACTAGTTCTTGACAGGTAACTTTGTCTCTTACATATACCTTTTTAAATATATATTATATATAAAAATGTAGGAATGCTTCTATATCTATATACCAATCTCTGTCAGTTACTTCTGAAATTACAAACAATTGAATTTGACCAAAAAGCACAATTACCATACAGAGCACTATGAAAAGCCAATTCTGCTTTTGTGGTATATACAACATTCAAGTAGAGAAATCCTTTGTTGTGGGAAGAATGCACAAAATTCAGATGAGAGGTTTTATTTAATATAATTCTCAAAGCAAAATAAAGCTGTAACGTATTAAAACAAGATGCCATTTGATGTCCCAGTTTAGTCTGTGTGTAGTTTACTGAAGTATTACAAACAAGGTGATAAAATGCATAGTGAACCATTGGGGAAAAAAATAGCTAGTATAGAGCAGTAAGCCGAACATTTAACATACCCACAAGCTACAGGGATACACGCTTTGTGTATTTACTGACTTTGGTGTATATTTGTTGGTATTTAAGTATATTTAAATTGTTTAAATATAAGGCAAAATGCTGAACACTTGCTTATACCCATTGACTCTACCCACTTGCTTTCTCAAGAAAGAACATTTCCTTTATTACCTCTGTGCATCTTACTTCTCTCCAGGGAAAAATACTTGTATCTGATTTTGGACCTCCTTTCTCTTAACCTCTGTTAGTGATACCGTGTCCCTCCTCCTGCTATTCCAGTAGCATCCCCCCATACATGGCAAGGAAACGTCTTTGGTGCCTGTTTCAGACTGATTTCAGCCTTCTTGATCACTGCTTCACCATGCTAGCTGAGGTCTCCCTAGCGTCCTGTACACAAGCACTGTGTTCTTTGACTCTGCTAGTACAGTATCTGCCCAAAAAGATCCTATTTTGTTTGTCTTCCACAGTGTTGTGTTAGATTAGGGCTGAATGGCTAGTTCATAGTCCCCTTGAGTGGTTTTAATTTGTTTTTAGTGTGTCTGCAGTATAGACGTATGTATCTAAACTGATCTTCTTGGACTCCTCCAGTAGTCTCGGAAGTCACTGGAGATCAAATTAATGGCATAGCTCATTCATCTTAAAGAAAGTGTCTAACCAGTCAAATGAATCACACCTTAAAATGCTTATTTCTCTTTTCTGATTGACATACTAGTTGGTTTTTTTTTTTTTACAAGGATAGATGTAGACATTGCAGATATCCAAATCCAGAGAAAAAAAATTCAGCTTCTTGTGATTTAGAATACTTCCCTTTTTTCCTTTTTTATTTTTTTTTTGTTATTTGCATTTATGTCTTCTCATTTTAATTTCTTTTCCACTGCTGAAGTATATTCTTTTAATGTTATATTTTCAATCTCTAAGCATATCTCTCAACTTTGTCTTCAGCATATGGACAGGCATTGGGTCAAACACTGGACAAACAGGCTAACATTACATCTTTTTATAAAATCTTACAGCATTAAAATGTATGTATAAAAAAAAATCTTGTGCTTCTTGGAGTGTCTTCTTCAATTTTATCTTAAGTTACTGATGGTACAAAATAGGATGCTGGGTCTTTTAAGGATTTCTGATATCTTCTGAATCACTGGAAAATAGATAAAGTTATTGAAGTCAACATCTTGCCAGTTTTTCTTGGACAGCATGTGATTAATTCCTGCTTAGTCTAGGATGACTTTGTTCTGTCTTCCATTTTCAAAGCTGCCTTTGCAATTTCATCTTACAAATTTTATTAAGGTCTATACTACATTTTAAATTTAAGTTGAATAAAATTTCATGAGGACCGTGTGTTTCTCTTTCTGGCAATTAAGACATTGATTTAGAGAGAGAATTCTTTTCATACGATATACTTGCAATCCATGTTTCATAGCAAATAACATAAAATCCTTATGCACTTCAGTGCAGTATATTGTAGTTTATATTATCAGCTTATTGTTACAGTTCTGGAATTCTGGGAGGCAAGATTCATTTTGAATTTTCTTTGCTGTGGTTTAATTAATGCAGATGATTCTGTAGGCACTATAGGATAATACTTATACCATTCTGTATTGCAGTTGCTGATTTTGTCATGTAGAGTGGAAAGGAACTGAAAGAAGTTAGGAGATTTACACTACTGTAAAAGTACCATGCTGTAAGAACCCATCCATCCCACTGCCACAGAATATTATTGCAAATAGTGCTCCCACTTATTTTAATACTGCAAATCGGAACATGGATGAATCTCCAGTATAAAACAAAGTTAATCAACACAGGGCTAACACATCCTTTAACATATGGCAGTTTCATTTATTATGCAGACACAAATGCACAGACATCCCTTTGCATGAGCTGGTTATCTGTCTGTCATTTCTTCTTTATGGTAATAAGTTCACTTTGGTTTAGTTTGTCAACTTTACATCTGTTTGTTAAGCTGTAGATAGTTTTAAGGAGCCCCGCGAAAGGTTGTTAGGAGCTGAAAGTGTATGCAGAATAAAGCAGTAAGAAATAATGTATGGGCTGTTTTCTTTCATGCATCTTCAACAACATGAAGGTGTAAAATATTTTGATATCCTTAAAGCTGATTTAACCTAAATTAAAGCATATGAATTTTATATATCTGATGACATGTATACACATACAGATATTTATTGATGGGCAATATCATATTGATAGGCTTAAAGAAGTATTGCTAGTCAGTCCCAAAAAAATGAGTCAGGGTCCTTTCTCTTCTCTCTGTTACCTTTTCCTCAACTCCATATCCATGTCCACCACTTAATCACTGCTACTCCTGTAGCAGAAAGTAGTATTAGCTCCAGCCAGTCTTTCACTTCATTCTTCTGTTGTTCTGATCCCTTTAAAGGTTTCTGTACAAGTCACTGAGAGAACTTTCTTGAAAAGATTCACATTAATCACTCGGTAAGCTTGTATATCTGAAAAAAAATAGTTCCACCTTCCTTTTCTTCCTCTCCAAGGTCTAACAGCTGCATACAAAAATGACCTCAATTCAGGAGCCTGCCTTGGTTACAATTACAAGAGCCTTCTGCATGACTTGAGCTAGCTAATTAAAATTCTCATTAAAATCCGAGCCATTGAAGCAAAGAGCCAATATATCATTTCTCTCTGCTTTGCAGTTTATATATTTTCAGTATCTAATAGCCTTCATAGGGATCATTGCATTCATTCATAAGGTTGTAAGTAGTTATATTCTGGCCCATATTTCCAAAAATGTCCCTTATATTTGACATAATTGCAGTGTTCTGGACTCATAAAGCCCATCCAACAACGTCCTCTGTGTATGTGCACATGTGGTTTCTGCTCAGTTAGTTAGTTAAGATGTAAAATTTTCCAGTCACTGAAACTAACTGCTTTTGACTGTTTAGCCTCAGGTTCTGATGCATGTGATTACAGGGTTCTTCTCTGACGCCTCAAAAGTTGTAAAGCTCCTCATATGGTGTCAGATTAGGAATATGGGTTTTTTCCTTTCCTATATTGCTCTTTGAGGGGCACCACTTCCAGATATCTCAGCCCAAACCTTCTTTTTGCATGGTGTTGACAAGGTATTACATAGTTGAAAACAGCTACCCCAGAGTTTTTATATTTAACTGATAAAACTTAAGCACACGTATATGCAAATAGATGTTGTTGGATTTTGTGTGTATACATGTGGGAGGAGATGTAGTCTAGAGATCTGTACATGAATGCATTTCCCTAAAGAGTGTAATCAGAGGAACGATTCCTTATTTTTAGAAGCTTAACTCAGGTTAAATAGTAGAAATTACTTATTTTTTTCCTCTTTCACCCCCATGGACTTCCAGCCATATCTACACACAGAACTGTTACACAGTTATAGTGAGAAGGGAATGTAATTCACACTGAAAACAGCTGTAAATCTTCAGTTCAGATTTATTAGCAATGCCCCTAACCATTCTGATGGAGAATACTTCATTAATTTCCATAGATGCCCCTCAGAGGGTAGTGACCTCCAGACTAAAGAAAAATCGGTCTGATTTCAAATATATCTTACTGTTTGTTTTTTTTTTGTTTGTTTGTTTTGTTTTGTTTTGTTTTTATTATTTTATTTTTAATATGTTTCTCTGCTTAATGGATTAGCAAGTGGATTGGAATGTGTAGTGAAGCTGAAGTTGGTTTTTAAATAATTATTTTCATTTCTTTTCAGTATACATCTGCTCTGACCTATGATGCTGTTCAAGTGATGACAGAAGCTTTCCGTAATTTGCGTAAACAGAGAATCGAGATTTCCAGAAGAGGAAATGCTGGAGATTGTCTTGCAAATCCAGCTGTACCCTGGGGTCACGGTGTAGAAATAGAAAGGGCATTGAAACAGGTAGCTTCCCTGGAGTAAAAGCTGGGATGAGTGCATGTGTGAAATACCCTATAAATGCTTGAAAAGAACCTTCCAGTCTCCTAACCTGCCTGGATCTTGCTGGGAATAACGTGGAAGTGAACCCCTCAGGAACGTGTCTCATACTAAGATGATATATTGCATATGGAAAACAGTCTAAACTGAATGTGTTTTAAAATATCAGTAATCATTTATGGAAATAGAAAATGCATTTTCTAAAAAGAAACAAACTGAACTTTTCTACCGCTTTCATCCTTGTCTATATAGGTTCAGGTGGAAGGTCTAACAGGGAATATAAAGTTTGATCAGAATGGAAAGAGAATTAATTTTACAATAAACATCATGGAACTCAAAAGTACTGGTCCTCGGAAGGTAATTTGAATTGTCTTACAGTGTCTTTAAAGGTTTTACCATACTAAGCAACGGGTTAAGGTAGGTAATGAAACTCTATAGATTAACTAAAGCATGAGTCGTGGTAATATTTATTCACAGGTACATTTTACAGTGGTCTTGCAGAACTAAGTAAAAATATGTATTATTTCTTTCTAATAAATATGAGTTATTTCTGGTAAGTACTACATAAGAATATTTTCCTTTCGATTTTGTGGATTAAACTTTTTGCTTTCTGATCTGAATTGCTAAACATGAGCCAGTATTTGGGGGAACATGCTTGTGAATGAAAAATGCAGAATACAGCTTTTCTGTGATGTTTCTTTAAATATGATTATCTTTCTGCTCTAATTCCAAACCTTTCAGGAAAAGCCAGTTTCTCGTGTCTTCCTAATCTGGAGTATTTCATAACCCTTTCAATCCTACAGTGTGTGATGTTGATACTAAAACCTGTTAATACGTGAATGAAAATGGTATACCTGTATTAGACAAATTAATGTGAACAAATGTCATTATTTCAATCTTTTTACTATTTGTTATATTTTTTACCTACATAAATAGAAATATTTACACTGGTAAACCCATAGCTAAACTAGTTACCTGTGAGCATAAATCAAGGGCATAGTAATAACATGCTTTACCTTTTCTATGAAAGTTCATATTCACTGTTGTCTGTGCATCCTATAAACTCTCTTTAGATTGGCTATTGGAGTGAAGTGGACAAAATGGTTGTGAATCCTCTTGATGGCCCTCTCGGAAATGAATCTTCAGGACTAGAGAATAAGACTATTATTGTCACCACTATTTTGGTAATTAACCTCATATTTTGTCAGAAGACAGTCTGTCCCACAGTGATTTGTTTCTCATCATTATGTTAGTTTTAATATGCTGTCTTTTTATTATTTGAGGTTGTGACCCGTTACTCATTATGATACATAAATAAAATCTAGAAATTAAGGAAGTGTGTGTGATTCAGTATGCCGTTTTGTTCCGTAGAAGACAAAATGGTCATTGTTTGAACAGCCTAGAAAGTTAAAATTTTCAGACCTGAAAATGGAAATGAAGTACCTGCTTTCAGAGGAGAAGAACTTTGTCTGAGAGGCAGAACTGCAGTGTTAAGTTTTAGAGAATTGATTTGGCCAAAAAGCAAAGAGGCTGGTTCTTATACTTCAGAATTGTAGCTGCTATGGATTGGTGGAATGTAAAATGAAACATTACAAGTTGTATTCTAGTTGTCTAGAGAGTAACATTATGTACTGTCATAGAACAGCGTTTTTCTGTAAGTTATGTAGCTTTATCTGTTTGGGCAAGTCACGGGCTAGCATAGAAAATTCACTGGATGCAAGAATAGTTCAGTAACAACTGACAAGGAGGGGATACATTACTTTAATACAACTTACGACTCATCACCAATTTTGCTGATGATAGAATATTGCATAGTTATAGATATCTTACCTGTTGTTTGTGTACTAATTCAATAAAGATATAGCCTGGACAGCCTGAAGTGTTTTCCCAGGGAGGGATGTGGTTGTGAAATAGGAAAGAATTTTCTTGCATTAAGACAACAACAAAAGCAACTAAATACCTTTACCTTCTTCATCCAAACTGTATGAGAGAAACTGATTTTGGAACTTACTCTTTCTTCTCTGAATGCGTAACTCCTGTTAACATTCATGGTCATTATTAACACACTGCTGGAAATCACTATATCTGTAAGTATTGTTATTTGTGTATGACTGTGGAGAATGCAGCTTTTAAATGTGTTAAGGACATGTCACATTAGTAATTAACAGCTAACATACATAGCATGTATGATTCAGATGTTATCTTCTTTCTTTTTTTCACTTGTAAAAGGAAACATTTTAATCTTTGAAGTGCACAACCGATACATCTGTCTGTTTAACCAAGTAGCTAAGGCAGGTTCTTTCTGTGCAGGAGTCCCCATATGTCATGATGAAGAAAAATCACGAAATGCTTGAAGGAAACGATCGCTATGAGGGCTATTGTGTGGACTTAGCTACAGAAATTGCTAAACACTGTGGATTCAAATATAAGCTCACAATTGTTGGGGATGGCAAGTATGGGGCAAGGGATGCAGACACGAAAATCTGGAATGGGATGGTTGGAGAACTTGTTTATGGGGTAAGAAAATCTTTTATAATAAAACTATTAAAGATGATTGATGGAAAGAGTAGGATTTGGTGTGGTTTTCTCTGTAGAATAGAGGAAAATTATCTAATTCCTTTCATAGTGAATTAGTAATACAAGTGTATTGGCATGAAGAATTTTGAAAGCAAAACATGGAATTAGATTTGTCATGCAAATGAAGTTGGGGGGGGAAGTGAGTGCATATTTCATCCTTCTGACCAGGTGAAAGGCAATGTACTAATGCTTTCAAATGTTATATAATTTTAAAAGGGCATGTGTAAAAATGGAAACTTGGAATATGCCAACCATATGGTTATATATATTTCAGTAAGAAGAGTTACAACTAAAAATTCCTGAATTCTCCATAGGACGTTCTTGGTGAAATGAATGTTGCTGGTGTCTGCTGTCCTATTTTCCATTTGTGAAGTGCAGTAGAAGCTGAACAATTCTTTGCTCTGATCATTGTTTTAGCTATTATTTGCTTTTTTTCTTCCTTTACAGAAAGCCGATATTGCAATCGCTCCATTAACTATAACATTGGTGAGAGAAGAGGTGATTGACTTCTCAAAGCCCTTTATGAGCCTGGGGATATCAATAATGATCAAGAAACCTCAGAAGTCCAAGCCAGGAGTGTTTTCATTTCTTGATCCGTTAGCATATGAAATCTGGATGTGCATTGTTTTTGCCTACATTGGGGTCAGTGTAGTTTTATTCCTGGTCAGCAGATTTAGCCCATACGAGTGGCACACTGAGGAATTTGAAGATGGAAGAGAAACGCAAACTAATGAATCAACTAATGAATTTGGGATATTTAATAGTCTCTGGTTTTCCCTGGGTGCCTTTATGCAGCAAGGATGCGATATTTCGCCAAGGTTGGTTACTCACCCATTTCAACTTTGTGCATTTTTGGTCTCAGCCATCTCAGCAGACGGAGCTTCATGGTGCATATATTTTCACTCTCGGAAAGAAATCACTTGCTATGTTTTTTCCCTCCCTAAAATCACAAAAGTCCTTGAAATAAAAGCAGTTGTCTCTGACATAGGGTCACGATGTGTTTGATCGATATTGTCTTAACATCGATCATAAATTTGCCAAGTGAAGTTATATACACCATGCAGAGACTGTAAAATGCATAAGGTTCAAGTCATTCCATGCCTTCTTGGAGGGGTACCGTGTTTTTGCTGCATATTCCCATTTTACAGTTGACAGTGCATATGGTTCACAACAACTGTAATGGGAAAAAAGGGTAACATGCTAGTCAGGAACTACACAGGCAGCACTTTCCCTCTAAAACTCACTATATAACACAGTTATTAACCCACTGTTTTTCTACAGGAGAGCCTTGAACTGAACTAAGTCATGTGGTGCTTCTAATTCATGTGAATACTTGCAAAACACTGATGTTTTTCCATGGCCTAGTTTTAGAAAAGTCACAAAGAAAATTGCTAAATTGAATTTGAAGGTCCGGTTTATAAATGCTTAATTCCTCATGGATTTTCACTTCCTTTATTAGGGACAACTGTGAAGCACTTAAGTTAATTCCTTTGCAGCTCATTAAATATTCTATTTCCCTTGTGCACAAGTGGTTCTAGCCTTGATTCAGCAAAGTGGTAAGTAGGTAGGTAAATAACTACTTGCTGCTTGAAGGAACTGTAGTAAAACGGGAAATAGGGCAACTGGGTTTGAAGGAAATCAAATCAGAAGAGTTGCCTAATTATACTAAGCAATTTAACTTTCTTCTAAACATCCTAAAGTAAGACAGGGAACAGGTCAATTTCTAGTGAGTCTAGTGGTTAGTGTGCAAAATAGATCACACCAAGGGAGCATTTCTTATATCTGTCATGCATCCCAAAAGGCAACAGCAGGTTTTCAAGTTGTCCTGCTGCAGAAGTAGCTGAGAATTTGTTGTGTGAGAACTTCAGCAATTCTGTGTAAAGGCTGGCACATCACAGTGAGATATGCCAGCCTTTATGATGAAAGATGCGATGAATTTGGTGTATAACACAGTAAGAATTGTACAGAAGAAACAAGACAGTGAAGAGAGGGTAAATTGTTTGAACTCATGAGAAGCTGTGTTAATTTCCGTCCTGTGGGGGGTTTGTATCAATTACACATTTCACAGGTTTAGTTGTCTGCAAAGTCCTCTGTTAGCTACAAAATTATTTTTATTGAATCAAGGCCATAGTAGAATAATGATACTATTATTATTATTATTTTACTGGCTATTAAAGCATGACAGTTGTTGTGTGCGGTTTCATAACTTTTGAAGGATGATGTAAGAATAATGGTAGTAAGTGGTCATCATAAAAGATGTATGAAACCCAAATAATTTTGGAGATTCAAGGTTTAGTTTCAGTGAAGTGTTTTAAGAGCACTTTATTTCATTACAAACATTTCTGAGGAGAGCAGTTAGTTTGTATATTATCTGTTTATTGTAAGAACAGAAGAGAGCTGAAAACAGCTCAGTTACTTCTGTTTTTCTATCACTATCACTATGGAATTTGAACTCCCAGCGAATGAATCAGAGTAGATATGAAAAGGAGTATCTTCAGGCATCAGCAAAACATCTTTGTGAAGTTAATTTTTGCATTATTGCTACTATGATTTCTCTAACCAAAATGACAACCACTGTAACACAAGTAACTTGGGCTTCCTGACTAAAATAGAAGGTGGTCCTGGGTAAGACTGCACCTCCTGGAAACTGGTCTGCAATAGCAGTCCCCACGTTGCCATCATGGGTAGCACAGAAACACAAGTAGAATAGACTAGAGTGGAATAGAATAATGGATAATAATGATAACTTATAGCAATTTTTTCCTTGTCTTTTTTGAGATGTGAGTGTACTCTCAGTGCTGCCATATGATGTCTCTAAGCCTAAAACGTGGTGCACAGATTTAGGTAATTGTGCACAGAAAGTGTTAGTTGAGTATTTAATGATCTGATGAATTAAGTGCTTGTCAAGTGTGGGTTCATACCAGCATATAATTATCAATCTTTAGAAACTTTTTGAAATGTACATAAAAAAATAAATGATTTATTTAACTGGGACAGACCTTATGGGAAAAATTTTAATACAAATGACACCCAAAAAAACTTTACTTATAAAATCTCATATGGGACCATAACGTCTGGATTGTCATTGAGCTTATTCTCTTTTTACGAAGTTGTTGGCAACTTTGCTGACAGATCATGGGGTTTTGAAGATTATTATCATGCATAGCAGGTGTCATCAATGCAATATAAAGTGCCATAAAGTCAGCAGTTATTAAATACACATTGTCAGAGATTTTACCTTGCAAATATATATTTATCATATAATTCAATCTTTTAATTGTATAATTATTTTATACTCGGATTACCTTCATGTCCAGATAAGTATGTAACATTTTTTCAAAGGTGACAGAAAGCATGTTTGCAGAATACATTTCAATTTAGAAGGAACTTGAAATGATTTATTTTCAGTGGTCCCTGTTAATAATATTCTGGACCTTATTTGACTTGATTTTCATGTTAGAGTGAATTAGTGAGTCTGTTGTGACATGGAATAAATCTTTTGATGTATAAACTATCACAGAGTTTTTATACAATAGCAATTAGTCAAAATAATTTTTGTTCCCAGTTTTATAAATCAGTTTTACATAACTATCATGTTTAAATGCGTATATATATGTATATAGTTATATCTATCTATATATAAATATTTTGTCAGAATTAGTTTGAAGTCTCATTCACAATACAGTAGGCTGGGTGAGTGATTTGTAATCTGTTTACTTAATAGATAGAGGAGACACATCAGGACACCTAAGATACCGCAACGCCTTAGTACTAGACTTTCAGCTATATGCACATTTCTGCCAAATAATTAAGCACATCTCCAAAAATTTATGTAGTCCTTCCTATAATGTCTTGTTTGGAAACAAAGTAGTAAGTAATTTCAAAGTTTAAAGGATCATTAGAAAAATGTCAATTTTGACAGTAATAGCAATATCAATATTTCTCTTGTTTTATTTTTCTCGTATTGAAAGTCATTGAATTTCTCTAGTTGTGTGCTCTGTACTGTTTTATATATTTTCTTCAGTTCTCTTTTCTTCTCTCTTCTTGAGCAGGAGATGCAAAACAAAGATCCGTAAGAGCCCACCTGCTGCAGTTAAAAACATCAGTTTATTATTATTTAAAAAATACACTTTCTTCACCATTTTTCTGTATTATCACTGATTGTTTCATGTTCACTCCTCACTTTGTTAAATGCTTGTATCTTTTAAAAGTTGTGTGCAATTATTAGTTCATGGATATTCCCTGGGCCAGTTTTTATTGCAAATAATGCTATCTGTTTCTCAGTATAGATTGTCCACAGCAGCCTAAGACCTTGTTTTGTGGAAATCAGTCTTTGTCTGATTGTTGTAGGAAAATAAGGAGGCTGAAGGCACTTAAGTGCGTACTGGTTTATCTAAAGGCACTGTTTCACTGATTTTGTTTGATCCTCTTCATAATGTCACAAAGATTCACTTCAGAGGGAATGACAAGCTTATGTGTTAAATGTAGACCATTCTGATGGGAACAGTTTCCTTTCAGGGTGTTCAGAACTTTGAAGAACTGGATCACTAAATTCTCCATAAACTCTGGAGTCCTGATTTCAGCAAAGTCCAGGAGATGTAGTGGAGTATGCTTTGATTTCCCACCTGATTACTGTGCAGAGCTGCGCTAGGAGATAGCCTGAAATGCTTCCCTATAGCATAATGCATCATTTGCATAAAACTGATAACGTGTGTTCCTTTTTAGGACTTCCATTTCACTTTACAAATCCATTTCATACTTGTTATTAGATCCCTGTCTGGGCGCATTGTTGGAGGTGTGTGGTGGTTCTTTACCCTCATCATAATCTCATCCTACACGGCTAACTTAGCTGCCTTCCTGACGGTTGAGAGGATGGTGTCTCCCATTGAAAGTGCAGAGGATCTTTCCAAGCAAACAGAAATTGCTTATGGAACGTTAGATTCTGGCTCCACTAAAGAGTTTTTTAGGGTAAGAATTTCTACTTTTTAGATTTCTGTTTTGTTTTAAACAGGTCTCCAATCATGTAAATGTGTTTTCCTTAGGCTTTATGAAGAGGTTGCTATAAAAAACATGATATGTGCAGCCTAACTCGCAAGTACAAATGTTTTTGTTTATTCATTACTGTTGCATTTTATTAGCTATATACAAATATGAGGGTCATGTTATAAATATGCAGAGCAAAAGTGGCTGCAAGGAATTACCTAAAAATATTCTACTGTAAAATAAAAACCAAGATATGTTCAGACAAGGGAGTTGATGTTCAATCTAAGCTTTAAGACAGGAGCTAATGATTGTAAACAAGGCTATTTAATAGCTGTGCTATATTTGAGGTAGTTGTGCAGTGAATAGAGACGTAGGAAGGTGCATAGTCATGCTTTAGTTAAGTGTTTCACATGATTTTTCAAGCTTGCAGATGAGGAATGGGATACAGCCCTGTTGGCTGCTGTAGTAAATCCATGCGTGCTTTTGAAAAGAGTTACTATTTGTATTTGCATTACAGTAATGCCTGGGAAGCCTGTCAGTTGTCACCTTCTACCTCTGTGTATTTCAGTTTTAAAAATGCATGAGACTTCCAATGTGCGAGTCTCAGACTGCCTTTGAGACACCAGCTAATATGGTGAAATCCAACCAGCAAATGAGTGAGCCACTAAAGCTGCCGGGAGAAACACCATGACTGCTTTGCCTTGTCTATGTTCTCTGTGCCTCTCCCTGTAAGATGGAAGTGGGTTTGAAGTGCTACAAGTGCAAAAACCCTGTTGTTTTCATGTTTTTGAATGGATGATGATGGTGCTAGTTTTAAACAAAATGTGTTTTAAAGTAGTTATAATATCATGCTTACATTTCAAACATAGCCTGCCATGGAAGTGAGAGGAAACAAGTTCTCCCACATATTTTTTCTGTACTGTATATTAAGAGCAGTAAGTGCTAGGTTATGGTTTTCACTGGATCCTGTATTGCTTATTTAACTGGTAATGTACTAAATAGGAACCATATTTGTTTCAACTGTAGAAAAGCATTATTTTCTGATTTTGATGATAGGTCCAGTAATAAGACCTGATGCTGATTGCATTCCTGTTGGCTAAAACAAAATTAACATCAGGTGTGTAAGCTAGTGAAAATGAGATTCGGGTTTGTGCTAATAGTGTTTAGAAGTGTTTAGAAGCATACAAGCGTGGGTTTCCAGTTTTGTGAGCATAAACCTTTTAGATCATGGCTATACTGGGGATTGATGGGAACTAACAGTGATCAGTTCTTTTGAATAGTTTCTCTTTAGAGATTTTTAAGCTTTCCTTTAAAACAAAACACATTTGTATGTGCACGCATCAATATGTAGTTTTTGTGCTCCTAGCACATATATATACATCTTTCCAATTACACTTTACACAGCTAGTGTTTCTGGTGATTACCTGAGCATTATTGAATTACTTTTTGTTAAAATTAGCTGGTGGCTTTGTGAGGGCATATTCTTCACCTTTTGTTAAGTTAGCTTTAGCTCTGCACAAACAAGTCTATAATGATTTCTGGAAATTTCTTCTCAGCAATTGCTGTCCTAAACAAGTTGGTGCATTATGTATAATGCAGCTTCTTAGCCTGATGGCTTTATCTTCTCTTTGCTAAAAATCACTTAAACTTGCTCAGGTATTTTTCAAGAAATAATAGCTGTCAGAATTTCATTCTAGGAGAACTGAAACTTCAGTTTCAAGAATTAAACTCTCTCTGCTGAAGACAATGTGAAAGCAGTCTCTGGTACTAAGGAGACTAAAATTTCACCCAAGTATTTCTGTATGGTGACTGGATTGGATTGGATTGGATGTGTGATTTTTATATGACCTGAAATTAGGACTCAAATTCTTTGAACAGCTGGAAACAACTTGAGTATTTTTCTAGCAGCGAGCCAAAATGGGCTGGCTTTTTCTCAGTCACTGTCATGAATTAAAAGAAACATTTGTTGGTTTTTTTTTTTTCACAGTCTGTTTTCTCTTCAAGAAGTGGCATTATTTGCAAGTGTGTTTTCTATTGATGGAATGTATACTGTACCTAAATCTTCACTAGTAGAGTGCTAATTCCTGGAACAACACAAAATTAGGCATCATTCTATACTGGGGATGAGAACAGTAAACTGAATTTTCTTTGCTACTAAAACACGCTTTCTGATAAGGCTTTTCACAAGTGAAAAAATAGATGTTTCTCATCATTTTCCAAAAAGGAATTCTCAGCAATAAGCTAGGTGGTGAAAGTTAGCTGAAAAATCCTATCCTGAATAGCTAAATATATGTATGCAATGTATCTTGAAATGAGTCGGTTCGAGTCTTTGACTAGCTTCTATGACTGCTTAACTGGCACGAACTCATTGAAATATTATATGTTAGCTTGAGTATGTCAGGGATGTCCCATTAGCTTGTTCTCTGTTTTGTTTTAGGATTCTATTCTCAGCCACCTACAGCAGGTACATACTGGTTCATGTCTGCAATGGCTGTGGCTGGCTCCAGTCACTAACATGGTGAATATATGGTCTATGGCTACCATAGAGTAATTCAGATTTAGGTTAGGAAAACCCAGGTGGAGGAAAGATAGTGGCTCACCACATACCCTACAGACAGTATGGGAGTAGGCGTACAAGCTAGTCCATATTGCTTGACTTGGAGGTAACAGCCTTGGCACTTTACCCTATTTTAGGTACTTACTCCCTAGCTTTAAAGGTAGTACAGACTAGTAGGAGATATTCTTGCCAACAGTGAGTAGGGCATCAGTTGGCACTGAATCAAGACACATAACTGAGAAAAAGGGATGAAAAGGCATTGTACTCTATTCCTAGTGCTGCTTTTAAGATGAGAAGCAGAAGCTTGGTACATCCTACATAGAAAATATCAGTGCAGAAATAATAGATTTAACAGTATGTTTAAAAGAAAAAAAAAAAAAAAGGTAATGACAGAGCTTTGCTGAGCAGTAAGCATCATAGTAACAATGTTATCGATACACAGTTTTTCTTTAATGGCAGATCCATCTGATCTCTTGACTATATATTTGTAAATACCAGAATGTGTAGTAGTCTCCTCAGGAGATGTCAAAGTTGCTACTACCAGAACTGTGAGTACGATCCAAGTCTTCAGAGTTCTGTTCCACTGAGTTGGGATACTTAGCACTTCTAATACTTACTAGTGCCTCTGCATTAGACATAGTGCTTTTAGAGTTCTTAATACAACTGAAAGCCTAAACAGAGATCTGTAGTAGTTTGCTGATGTGTTTTCTCTTGGGTTTACAACCTGAATTAATGGGCAAAACATCGAAGAAAATGTGTATGGCTATGGTTATCCAGAGGTACATCGTTTTTTCTCAAATCAGTCATGGATTGTAGTGGTGAGAATGTGCATAGGTCTGCAAGCACAGCTTGGAACACCCAGGAGTGATTTCAGCTGATCTTGTACAGGTGCATCATCTCTAATTGTCAGAGTGCAGATACCGCTTGATGGAGCGGTAAATGGCGGGGCAGTGGAATTTCATCACTCCAGTATGTACTATTGATGCTGTCCACAGTCACACAGCATTTTTACCTTCAGTGATTTCTCAGCAGCTGCTGTAAGTGCAGTTGATGTATGCATTTGCCAAGACACATAGTTGAACTTTGAAGGGAAAAACATGTCACTAACTCAAGAAGACAGACTGCTGCTCACCTAGCACTGACGAAAATAATTTTAAAGCCCTGTCTATCTGTGTTAGCTCCTGAAGTTGCCTTGCTTACTTTCATGGGCTATGACACTGGAAGAAAGAAATGAAGTACAACGACGTAAGTATGCAAGCTTAACGTTCACTGGAACATTTCCATGCTATCCACCTCCTTGATGGCATATTGAAAATTAATATCAAAGTGATAAAAAGAGAACTAAATCTAATTACTTTTAAAATTCAATCATGTTTTTGCTGTATGCCAAGCTCTATTAATCAAAAATATGTACAAACCTCATAGACAAATGAAATCAATCACGCTACCCTTTCTTTATTCCACTGTAAAAGATGAATTGTAATTACTCCCATGTGTAAGGTAAGAAGACATCTTAAGAAGAAAAACTTACAGAGCAGTAATTAAACTAATTTACATTCTCTCTGCATTAGTTTTTATTTAAAATCTTTTTATATGTACCTAGTTTTGAACCAACAGCATGACATGGACAGACCAATCTGTTTCATTCTGTTTTGGTGGCTTCTAAGAGTAGATCCTCTGCAAAATTAAAAGCAAGCAGAACTGCTTCATGACAAAGTATTCTTTAGCTTTCACTGAAAACACTATGCAGCAGTTTCTTATTCTTGCTTAAAAGGCAAGAGTTCCAGAATAAAAAGTTGGGCATGGGAAAAATGCCAGAAGGATGATAATCTGTGCTGTTCTAGAAGGAAGTCCTCTTCCATAGGGAAAAGACAGCAACAGACATAAGATCTGACAAGACCCCATGAGTAATTTCTTCTGCAAAAGTGTTGTCTGTTGGGAGGCAAAGAAAATTTGGCCTGAAGATTAGTATTGTCTTTTCTGAGGCTCTTCAACACAGTTCAGTGCCTCCAGATTTATGAGTCCTTTGACATTTTTAACTTACAAAGGTATTTAAATTGATGATTATATTACAAGAGGTTATGCAAAAAGAGAAGAGGATACAGCAGTCTGTCAACCTCAGTCTGTCCTTAGGCTCATCAAGATATTCAAGTTTCTTTAAAACAAACAAACAAACAAAAAAAAACATGCAGAGGAAATCTCTAATACCAGTGAGAAGAAACACTGATTTTTTTTTTTTTTTCTTAAATGAAGTTGAGGTAAAAAATTATGAATCATACATCAGCCTCAGTTTTTGAAGTTTGAGATGTAGAAGAATTAAAGAACAAGTTTCTAGAGTTAAATTTTGACTAGCTCCACAGAAGCCTGTGAGAGGTGAGGGAGGCAAAACACTCAGTTACGAAATCTGTAATGTTTACCATGGGTTCTA